TACGTTTGCCGTGGTCGTCATCAGAAAAAGGGGGTCTCATCCGAGGCTTGTTGGAATTTTTCATTGGGCGGGGTTTTAACGTGGCGGGACCCAAACCCAGCGCACGCGAAGTTTTACGCCTTCTCACTTTAGCTCGCTCCCAAACGGGTGTTTGGTTGCTACCCAGAGGATACGTGGATATAAATATCCGGACGTTGTGAGCTGCGATTTGAACCGTACGCACAAGAATCGCTTCTGGCCACTCCCAGGTGAATGGCAGTCAAAAGTTTTCCACTTCTGCGCACGGAACCATCCTCCTAATAAATATAAACTTACTAAAAATTTTCAAAAGAAAGCTTTTTATAAACATTTGTATAACCCTTTATTTAAAGATATTTCATAAAAAACTCATACATAGATTGCTTAACATCTAGAAACTAAACGAAATGCGAATTTTCGGCGGACTCATCTACAGTCGCGAAAATATAAATAGGGAATAGACATTTTAGCATACAAATTCACGATAACACACAAAAATTAAGCATAAAAAAGTTAATTATTACATCTTGTTGCGTGCTTTTAATTACATGAGGTTATTGGCAATTTGGAAAAACGACATCGATGCAGCTATATATTCCGCTTCATCGCCGCCATTCTCATTGATGAACTTTTCTGAAAAAAATTTAATACATTTTTAATTGAATGTTAAGCTAAGAAAGGATAAAGAGAACTCATCATTTGAAGACTCGAATGCTCCACCGATTGGCGCAGCGGGTCCTGGATTGGATTTTTTTTACCGCATCGGTTTTATTTAATTTTTTCTTTTAATAATATATTTTAAAAAACGTAAACACGTCACTTACGATTGGAAAAATGTTATATTTACTACTTCATGTCGTTGGCATTTGCATTTCATTTAAAAGTTTTAGTTATTTATAAACATTCGCTCTCAAAACTTATTAAAGGTTTATTTGAAAAAAACTTTTAATAAGCTTAATATTAAAAATGCTTATTAAACGCTTATTATAGCAAACTTACTTTAAGTTATTTTTAAAAACATTTACTGAAATGCTTGTTGGGTATTTAATTACTTGTTCAAGTGGATTCTAATGAATTTGAAAGTATTTTTGGTTATTTACATGTGTGTGCTGAGTGTGTTTACATACAAAATAAGCAAAACTTTACAACCAAAATTTGGAGGTTATGTTGAAGTTGACAGAAGTTACAATTTTTTACTAGAAAGCGATCCCGTACTTTTCAATGTTACCCTCTCTTTTTGACAGTTTTACTAGTCGAGTCCGAGGAATACGCGATTGCTCCTAGTACTTAATCGAAAAGACTCAACATTGCTTGGGATCGATCAAAAAGTATCGAGTATGAAATATCGGTTCTAAAGTATCGATACCTACTAATATCGATACTGATCTATTATTTTTTATTGCCCAAATAATAGACATAAGAACGATTATAAGAAAAGTAAACATAACAAAACTGTCAAAGCTAAACTTCAAAATGGGGGGGATTGCCAGATGAATGTACGTAACCAATAGTTATTCAAGACACGAACCATCATATCGGTATAGACACGGATTGACATGGCCACTATGAAGACGCCCACACTGACATGCGATAAAAGAATCGGTGGTCACATACCACGAGACTAGAAAAATATTTTTTCTCTTTGGAATTGGGCACGGAGCGAACCACACTCATCAACCCTCGCAAGAACGGAATTACAACCAAGTAATTAAAGTGGATTAAAAGCTGGCGACATTCGGGGAGTCGATACTCACCCCTCAGTGGAAATTAATAGAGACAAAAGGTGCCGTCACATTCCTTCCGGCAAATCCCCAGCCATGTTGTTGCGTATAATAAAGAAGTTGTGAGCATCAAATCCGGACTATTCATTTCACAGCAATTGAGTCACCATAAGCCGGTAATACAAAATCATTACACGTAAGTCAGCCACTTTTTTGCCACCATCCATTGGAAACGAGCTATCCATCAACCGTAAATAAAGATTCCTGTTTGGACCGACAAACCAAGGTCAAGCAAATCAATACTTTTGGCTATAAAGGTATTTCTTAGTCCCCTTTCAGACACGTCAAGTCTTGCTTTCAAGTGTGCTCGTTCGATGGCGAAGGAGGAGAGAAGAGAGGGGAAGAGTACAGATACCTCCGTACCGTCAGTTCGTTTCAAGTTTTCTTGTCTCTTGTGATCTTTTCGTTGCTTCCCATTTGAAGAACCAAAGACTTGAATTCAATTGAAGTTGACGCGTGTGGAAGCAAATAGAAAACACAAAAGATAATGCGAAAAAAATTGCTTTCAAGACTGGACGTGTCTGAAAGGGGACTTATGAACCAAATAAATAATTTTTTCTTTATTTTATGTCAAGTTAACCATTATCTGGGAATCTTAAAAACCAAACTATATGTTTAATAATGAATGGTATTTGACACAGACAATGCATGGGGAAAAATTAAAAGAAAGTTAATCTCGTTTAAGAAAAAAATTTGCTCATAAAATATTCATTAAAAAAAGCCTTATTTTGTTATACTTCCCACGAATATAGGCTTTTAAAAATTATAAGCCAAAAATTTAAAAACGATAGTTGTAAAAATGTCTCCTTATTACTTCACTTGATAGAACTCCACATACAATTGGAAGTGTGAAGAATACAGAAAGAAAATGATACGGCTAAAATTTTACTAATTGAAATTCTTAAGCTTTTAAAAATTTAAGATTTTGTAGTATCTAGATAGCGGGAATTGGAGTAATTTTTCTATTTGACATCTACTTTTCTCCAGACTAAATGCAAAGATATAGTTTAAATTTTCTGGAATATTTTAATTTTTACCAAGAATTTTTTAATCAACTCTTTCTACCCTGCTCTTTGCCTTCTTTGATTATATTCTTAAATAGCAGACTCCCACTACTTTTGTATTTTCCGCTAGTCTTTTCTGCGTATGTATTTCTTGCATTTTGCTCAAGAGGTTCACATGCTAACGCGCTTCAAACCCGTAAAGTTGCCCAGTGAGCTTAATTTCGCGGTGGAACGTCTGTACTGAACATACTTCCACTCGAGCAGTTGGGCCGTGTAGACGTTGCATTACATCGACTTTGGTGAGTCAATTGTAAGTCCCCTTTCAGACACGTCAAGTCTTGAAAGCAATTTTTTTTCGCAATCTCTTTTGTGTTTCTATTTGCTTCCACACGCGTCAACTTTAATTGAATTCAAATCCTTGATTCTTTAAATGGGAAGCAACTAAAAGATCAAAAGAGACAAGAAAACTTGGAACGAATTGACGGTACGGAGGTGTCTGTACTCTTCCCCTCTCTTCCACCCTCCTTCTCCACCGAACGAGCAGACTTGAAAGCCAGACTTGACGTGTCTGAAAGGGGATCAACGTGTATTCTTGGCACTATATCGACTTTGTCGCATTTGTTGGTTTGGCAATTAAACAGCCATAAAGAACAATGCGCTTCATATTCGGAACAACAATGGACGAAAAATTGCCGAGGCAAAATTTGCTTTAAACTGGCTACACACGACAAACATATGCGCGCACATGTGCGCCAACATGCTCGCTGTCGTTTGCCACAGACGGCGAGCGGCTCATATGTACAATACAATTGCAATGCCTTTAAGTTAGCTTTTTTTGTGTATTTGTTACTTAAATTTATTTATATTTTACTATATGTATGTACATACATATACTTATAGTAATTTAGCCTCATTTATCAAAAGTTCAATTGACGCACATGGCTTGGATGCATTTATCCGCCGATCAACACAAAATGAGGTTGTTGTTTTTGTTTCCAATGCGATGCTCGCAAACCACGCTACAAACGACGAGCATGCTCGCTGAAAATCAAATTTTTTTGATTTTTGGCGAGCATGCTCGCAAACCGCCCTACAAACGACGAACATGACCCGCAAGCCGTGCATGTGCGCGGATATGTTCGTCGTGTGTAGCCACTGTTATGCAGCGTTTTTGCTGCATTTAAAATGCAACATTTAGCACTTTCGAACATATGTTTTCGAAGAGCGTTCATGCTATAGCATTTAGCAAATGTACATTTACGCGAGTTCGAAATCGTATCCTTTTGACAAACAGCCGTGTTCCAGTCTCTTATTTAGATGCGTATATATTACGATCAATTCTCACGCAGAAGATAATGTGCAAAAACCCTACTGAAAAGGAAAAAATAAATTTTAAACCAAAAATTCAATACAAAAACTTGAATTGTTTTAACCATAAACGAACATTTGTTTGTGTATATATTTATTTGTCGGTGCATTCAATTAAAATTTCCTCACTTAATTAGGAAACAAACCAAACAGAGTTGATCACAAATTGATCCAGATTTCTATCAGTATCAAATCGATGTTGAATTTGCTTAACTTTTCTTTATCCAAATATGTAATGCAAAATAAAAGAAATCTCGATCGGCGATCACTGAAACGCAGCTAGCAACTGTATACTCGAAAAAGCAATGTTGCCACTTTTTCTCTTTAAACCATGTTCGAATCGTGGAAATTTTGGAAGATCACAGGGTTGCTTTTAGCATTTAGATTCTTAATGCAAAAATGTAGTTGCATTTAGTTGCATTTAGGTGACGAATTTTGTATGGATAAATGTACATTTAGAGTAGCATTTAGAGCTAAATGCGCTAAATGTGCTTTTACGCGTAAGCAAAAACAGCCTATTAGTATAGAGTTTCGTTACGAGTTGTTTTTCGATACCTTGGCTCAGAAGTATTGATGCCAAAATTACTTGGTATCGATCGAAAAGTATCGATTTTTTACTTCTATTTACTCGTATCATTTCATTCCTAACTTTATACTGAACATAAAATTAGGGGAAAAAATTGGGATTTCTAAACTCCTTAATTCCGGCGGTGAATTTATTAATTTAAACCAATTTCATAAAATGGAGCCTTTGGTAGTCAATCAGCCGGTTGTCATTGACAATGTAAGTGTGGCGTTTATTTAACATATCGAGCTTGTTGAAAAATGGGGGCGTCCGGCATGCGGTGACATCACTCGCTTTTTGAACTAATGTATCTACATATGTACATACAATAATGAAGTTGCTCGCCTTCCACCCTTTCTTTCTCTTGAATTTCAACAATTGGAAAATAGGAGGAACCATGATTCAATTGAATAATGGAGCCGCGTACAAACAAAGCGGTGACTAACCTTTACATACTTTTCAGTATACCTTTGATAGAATTTAAGCCGTATTCAAAGTTGCAAACAAGTTTTAATCATTGGTTATATGCTTTTCTTAAGAAAAATGTACATACGAGCGGTTCGTATATAGGCATTCAAATATATTTTATTTGGCTACAGTGTCAACGTTTATATTTTATGCAAGATTTGGGGTCATATTGTCCACCCAACCGAATTTTTTCTTCTAAATGTAAGTCGCCTCCATATTTTATAGGATACACTACTGGCTGTTTCTCTTGAACCGATGTAACCGGCAAACTTAATAAAATAGAGTTTCTATCAATTTGCTTTCGTTCACATTTCCCATAGTGCTTCTTAAATACCTCAGGTTTTGAGAGTTTGTCGTATGGATCACGATTATAGTCTCGAAAATTTTGGCATTCTAGGTAAAAAAAATCGATGTTTTCCAACTTAGTATAGTTTACCATTGTCAAACCAATTCTGGGCGCAAAGTTCAAGATGAGTTTTCTCTGGTTTATAGAGCTTTTTGACACGGTCAACATATCTACTTCAGGCGTTAAAACCAATTTCATATTTGTAATTCCTATAAAAAAGTTAAAGAGAAATTTAATTTACATATCGCTCGTTTAATTATATAGAGATGTAACTAAAAATTTACGTTTTTGGAGATTTAATTGTACAATAACAGCCTTGATAAATGTTTTTATCCTGTATCAGTGAACATTTTTTGTTACAGTTTTGTTACGGAAAAATATATGAAAAATTTCCACTTTTAGTTACAAAAGTTTTGTCACCGATACAGATTTGGGCTGTTAATAAGCTTGATAGGTAGAATAAGTACACTTGTGATCAGCTAATTAAGCCAACAAAGTTTGAAATCTGGATTTATATGGTGTTTGTTATATAATGAGCTAGACTTTTATGGAAAAATAATAAACATTAAATAAACGAAAGCAAAATAGCCAAAATTTATCAAAATATTGCTGGCTTAATAAGCTGATCACAAGTGTATGTTCCACCTAACAGATGACTAACTTTCCCAAAAATGGCGATGATATGTGGATTTCTATCTGTATTTTGGCATACCAACTGTATGAATTGATCAAACTTTGATTGCGTTTTCCCACAAAATTGAAATTTTGATAATTTAATGGTATTATCTGTCGGCAAAGTTGTTGAAATTTTAAACTTATAATTGTAATTTTTTACTCAGGGTTCTGGTGTCATAAAAGCTGGTTTTGCAGGTGAGCACATTCCCAAGTGCCGATTTCCTAACTAGTAAGTAAAGTGGGAAATTTACGAAAATGTTTTATGGGTACAAATAATTTTTTTCAGCATCGGACGCCCTAAACACGTTCGGGTAATGGCTGGGGCACTCGAGGGTGACATTTTTGTCGGCCCCAAAGCAGAAGAGCATCGCGGTCTGCTGAGTATACGCTACCCCATGGAACATGGCATTGTTACTGACTGGAATGACATGGAACGGATTTGGAGCTATATATATAGTAAAGTATGTTATCTCAATGTCTAATTAAATATTCTTTTATTATTTGAGCGCTTTCAAACAGGAACAATTAGCAACATTTACAGAAGATCATCCAGTTTTATTAACAGAAGCCCCGCTGAATCCCAGAAAAAATCGAGAAAAGGCCGCTGAATTTTTCTTTGAAGGAATAAACGTACCCGCACTTTTTGTATCAATGCAAGCTGTCCTCAGTCTGTAAGTTATTTTTAGTATAAATTCCTTATCACACATTTTGAAATGTTTTGCTTGAAGTTATGCTACAGGTCGTGTCACAGGAGTAGTGCTCGATTCCGGTGATGGCGTTACTCACGCAGTGCCTATATATGAAGGATTCGCGATGCCACATAGTATTATGCGTGTTGATATCGCAGGCAGAGATGTAACTCGCTACCTTAAAACTCTTATACGAAAAGAAGGATTTAACTTCCGATCAACAGCGGAGTTCGAAATTGTACGTTCCATTAAAGAAATGCTGTGTTATTTGGCAACTAATCCCCAGAAAGAAGAAAGCGGGGAGACTGAAAAGGTCGCTTATATCTTACCGGATGGCAAAACTTTAGAGGTGGAGTATATTTTGTTATAATGGTGAATAAAACCTAAAACAAGAATTTTTCATCAGATTGGTCAGGCAAGATTTAGAGCACCTGAAGTGCTATTTCGACCAGATTTGCTGGGGGAAGAGTGTGAGGGCATACACAATGTGCTTATGTATGCAATCGAGAAGTCAGATATGGATCTCAGAAAAATGTTGTATCAAAATATCGTATTATCTGGTGGCTCTACATTATTTAAGGGTTTTGGCGACCGTCTGCTGTCGGAGTTAAGAAAACACTCGGCAAAGGATTTAAAAATTAGAGTAAGTTATGCAAAAATAATAGGTTCATTCCTGTACAATCTGAACCGGACATGTCCCAAAGTACGGAGACGCAAAAACCACATTTGGTGCCCAGAATTTGATAAACAGCTGATTCACCTGTTTTTTTGTTTTTTGTTTTTTTTTGCCACTTAAATGCAAACACCTGGAAACTGGATTTTGGTTTCACAAATTTGATTGTATTGATAAATTAGCTTCACTGCGTCTAAGCTTTCCTGCAAACCATTTTTTCAAAGTATTCTGAATTGTAGAGAAATTTTAAAGAATTCGTAAAGATCTCATCCGATTTTTTGCCTAATTTTCTAAAATAAAATAAACTGTGCAAACTTCGCTTTTCGAAATTTCAGAAGAAAAACGGTAAAGCAAAGATAATAATGCTGCTATGTGAAGAATTTCTTGCAATATTTTTTTCGGAATTTTCTTTATTTTTCGTAAAGAAATTTCTTTACGAGTTCGTGTCAACCACTTCATATAAGTTTCTTTGAAGATTCGTAAATCTTGTTGCAGAAATAAGATACTCCTTTGGGTTGCAGGGTTTTTATGTTGTTACGCCCTCTTAAAACTCTTAATGCCCATTCAGAAATAGATTTAAATAACATTATGAAGTGAGATTTTCTAATAATATAGTGAATATATATTTTTTAATACCATGTCCCCACCAAAAAGTTAACCATCTCAAATCGAACTTAACCACATCACCAACTATTGCTATCCACACTGTGGTTTGAGATTTATAAAACAATACAAATGTAAAGAACAGTGTCCAGACCTCCAAAACTCGATTCAGGACTAATTGCTGCAAAAATCGGAGCAAAAACGAATTTTCCGTACTAGATTGAATTTTTTATTTTTGTTTCTGACATTAATTGTTTGACTAAAATATTTTCTATTCATGCAAAATAAGGAAGCGAAGCAATGTAAGGATAATATGTTATATAGAACGTATCTAACACTTAATTTTTTAAAAAGCAAACCTACTTTATATAAATTTCATTCTTTTTAACAACTTAAGTAAAGTTCTGCATCCGCCAATTTGTACAGCCATACATCAAAAAATAACGAAGTTACTTTATTAACGCATTGCTATGAAAGAGTTACTTTTTAACAGTGAGATTTGGCTAACTTTCAATTTTTTTTTTGCTGAAACCGGTGGTGTACACTCAACGCATTCCCACGACAGCCGGTTCTACGTATCGGAATGACTCGGGTTTTACCCGACCAAGGGCTGTTGTTTCGGCGATCTAACCCCGTTTAGGTCGGCGAAGTATCTCAGAAGTTGTTCGTCCATAGGGCTACATTCGCTACGTTTTCTCCTACTTAGGGCTGGCATCGAGTCAAACCCAGGGCCAGAAACCTACACCTGCTGTGTATGCCAGAGGCGACTACACCACAACTCCACCTCTGTTGTTGTTGTTGTTGTAGCGGCTACAACAACCCCGCCCAGGACGGTTGGTATCTCAGTCGTTGTCGTCAAGTTCCACTAACGGCAACCCTAGGAAGCGTGCAGCTTCTGTGGGGTTTGTCCACAGGGACCGGCCGGCCTATTGCCTTATATGTTGCCAGCAACGTTTCTTTGTCTTTGCCACAAGTACTGCCGGCTAGCGACTTGAGGACCTTGTTGCGGCTCTGTACTTTATTGACAATAGCGGTTGAGTGCGCAGAGAAGGAGAGCAGGCTGTCGAATGTTACTCCGAGTGGAGTCACCTCAGAGTCTGCTCAGGACTACGGACACATCGGCAGTTGACCACGTCTTTTGTGGCCCCCTGTTGCTATAACCGAGCAGCCTCCACGGCTAACCCCAGTCCACCTGAGCAGTCCCACACAAACACCGCAGCACAACAACATAACACAATAGACCACACCACAACGGCTACAGACCACAGAACACACAACCACACCACAACGGCTACAGACCACAGAACACACAACCACACCACCACCCACACGCCGCCGCCAACAACTTCTGGTTCCTCCTACAATCTGCACGGTATGTCAGACCAGGATATTCCGTATTTTGACATCAGTCAAATGCAACACCTGCCTTGGCTGGTGCCACTTTAGGGCATGCTCAGGTCTGCGCACCACGCGAGATTGGACGAGGAACTTCGAGGGCCCGTGCTGCGCTGCTCGATCGCAGACCTCAACTGCGACGCCTCCCGCCACCACCACAGGGCGGCAAACACCTCAGCAGCGCACACTGCCATTTGCGGCACGACCACACACATCCCTCACATCCCGCATCTACACGCGTCTCCCGAACCACATGAAGCTCCTTCAATTTAACTGTAACGGGCTACAGAGCAAGATCGAGGAGATAACCGTCTTCATGGGAAGGCATGGCATTTTGACAGCTGCGACGCAAGGGACGAAGTTGCACAGCAATTCAACACTGTTGAATTGTGCCGGGTACAACGTGCACCGTCGAGATCGCGAGCGGGATAATGGTGGAGGCTTAGCGTTCATTACGCACCACACCGTGCAGTATCGTCTCATCGAAGCAGTTATCGACCGCAGGGATACCACCCTAGAATGTCAGGGTATTGCTATCCGGTCAGGCGATGTTGACCTCGAAATATTTAACGCTTATATACCCCCTGTCACCTGCTGCCCGGTAGGATATCACCCTGACATAGGTGCGCTCCTCAGAGGTGAAAACCGTATGGTAGTAGGCGACTTTAATGCGCACCACGACCTTTGGTACTCAAGCCTATCAAACGATCGTAGGAGAACTGACTTGGCTGAGCAGATAGACGATTCGACATTCTGCACAATGAACGACGACGCACCCACCAGGATTATGGGCAGCTGCTGCAGCTCGCCAGACATAACAATAGTCAGCGCTGGTCTGATAAACAGCATATCATGGCGACCTATGCTGACTTTGGCATCAGACATCCTGCCCATAGTCATCTCGATCGATAAACCAACCGACTTTGTTTCCGCGGAGCACCGAACATATATCAACTTTTCAAAAGCAGATTGGAAAGGCTTCGCGGAATTTACTGAAAACACCTTCGCTGCCCTCCCCACACCAACCGACGTCCACCTTGGTGAACGTAAGTTCCGCAGGGCTGTCACCGCTGCTGCAGCACGCTTCGTACCGGCAGGATGCATCACCGACCCACGCCCAAATTTCCCTACTGAAGCGGCTGTTCTAGCCGATGAGCGTGACAGCCTTCGTCAGGCCGATCCCGGAGATCGCCGTATCAGGGATCTCAACGCGGAGATTCGGCAACTAGTAAGCTTTGGTCAACCGTGAGGTTACTGTCCAATCCGACGAAGCACGACGACAGAGTCGAAATTTCTTTCGGCGGCCATGCTTCGTTGGACCCGGAGCGATGCGCGAGCTATTTTAGCCGGCAGTTCATACTGCATCCTCCGGTGGACAAAGCCAAGCGTCGAGTGACCAGAAGGCTGCACAAACTGCCAACAACCTGTGCCCCCCCCCCTTGCTTTCACTTGCGCTGAAGTTCAGGTGGCCATCGGGAAGGCGAAAGCCTCCAAATCCGTGGGTCCCAATGGAATATGTATGCTGATGCTGAAAAACTTGGGTCCTGCGGGGGTAGCGTACCTAACGGAGGTCCTCAATTTGTCCATGACCACTCTCATCATCCCAGACATCTGGAAGGTGGGGAGAGTGGTCCCACTTCTCAAACCGGGTAAACCCGCCAACATAGGAGATTCTTATCGTCCGATAACACTCCTTTCCCCGGTAGCGAAGACACTAGAGGCCTTGCTACTCCCGTATTTCACAAACCACTTGACCCAGCGAAGCATCAGCATGGTTTCCGTAAAGTGCACAGTACAACAACAGCACTTAACGTCATAAACACTCGGATAACTCGTGGTCTTAACCGTAAACGTCCCTGTGAGAGAACGATTCTAGTAGCGTTGGGCCTGTCAAAGGCTTTTGACACTCAGCCATTCCACGCTACTAGAAGATATAGAGGCTTCCTCTCTCCCACAGAGGCTCAAACGGTGGTCGGAAAATTATCTAAGTGGTCGACACTCGTCGGTAATGTTTAGAGACAAATCGAGCAAACTTAGGAAAATAAAACAGGAGTTCCACAGGGTGGTGTCCTTTCCCCACTACTGTTTAACTTTTACATTTCAAAGCTCCCTTAACCACCAGAGGGAGTCTCGATTGTCTCTTACTTACAGCACTTAGGACAGCGACTGGATGCCTCCTGAGCCACCAGAACACCACCTCCACGACGAGGCGAAAATGCTCCCAATTAGGGAGCACAACACGATGCTCTGCAAGCAGTTTCTTGTTGGGAGCCACATATGTGGCCACCCAAATAGACAGCTGCTTGCAGAGAAGCCCTCGCCGATGCACGTCAGGAGGCATCTATATGAACTGACGGACGAAGTCCAGAGGTTCATTAAGCAACCCGTTTTCCGGCTAAATTTAGCCGGTTGCGTTAGCAAACAGCCGAAGAAATTTCGATTTAGCCGGCAGCCGATTTGTTAACCGTTTTGCAGAAAAAAAATTAGCCGTTTTTAGCCGATTTTGCTATTTGCCTTGTTTTCTTAAATTTCAAATATGTATATACATATGTTTTCATTTTTGACTAAGCTACCCAAAATCTGTTAGAGATGGCCACTAGCCTTATCGTGGAGAAAATTTTCATGTCAGGCAGGGTTGTATGAAATTGGGCCGATTTCGCTTATTTTTATTTTAAACGAAGAAGGGATTTTCTTCATAAATTGTTTGTTATAAATGTCTTAATTTTAAGTGTGAAGTTTTATTCGCAAACTTAGAAAATAATAAATTGTTTCACTGTTAAGACACTTAAGATGCGTTTGTGTTTGGATATAGTGCCAACAAACAGAATAAATATTACATGTAGATATTGTGTTCCCAGATAGGCAATTCTGCCTAAATTACAAAACATCATTTTTGCCCACTCCCAAAGGTTTAAGGTAAGGGAAAAATTGATATTTTCAAGCATTATGTACACATACGTATTTTTTTAAACAAACTTTTTTGCTAAGAGTTTATTTAAATTCCAAAAACTGAATGCCAACTTGAATTAAAGGAACCAACACTGAAGTGAATCAAAATTAAAATAAAAGAGCACAAATTTATATGTAAAGCAAAACTCTCTGGGAATCCTACGAGACATCTGCCGGTCATATGACCGGTCATCTAAATGGGAGATCTGCAGTCTTGTGGCATCATATTTTACATCAGAATTGAAGGGATTTCTGAAAAAT